GGGGGGGGGGGGTCAGTGACTTTTTTTATGGTAACTCACATTTGTACCATGGCTGATTACCTGAATTTTGTTAGTATCACTGCAGTTCCTCCCCCCAGCCCCAGCATCTCTTGTTGGTTGGTGGATTTAGTGAGAGACGAAAGGTCCTCCAGTTTACCATTGCATAATTATTCACATGAAGCAGTTCCACCATGGCAGCATTTACATATGGTTTAACTGTAGATTGTTTCATGTGTATCAAGCTTCAAAGCTACAAAGGCGATAAGAGAGAGAGAGGCAAGCTTGTCAGTGATCTACCTTGTCAGCTGAAGCAGAAAGATTGGAGCAATGAATTGCATTGCAAAACTGCATATGACTTATTTTGTTTCTTACAGGGAGCTTCTCTTTTGTTGATGTTGAAGAACTTTCTCCACAATGATGTCTTCCAAGCTGGCATTCAGACCTATTTGCATGACCACAGCTATGGCTCCACTTTCAGTGATAACTTATGGGATAGTATGAATGAGGTAAGTCTCTTGAACAAGGGGTGGGAGGACTGAAGAAAGCTGGCCACACTGGCCTTATCTGCCAAATATTCCATGTCTGCCTCTCAGGGCTTGTGTAATAATTGGTATAGGTATTAAATGCCAAACAGGAAAGAAGCCCAATAAGAATAAAACAACAGATGCCAAAAGCAGAGATTTTTTTAAAAAATTATTTATTTATTTACTATACTTGTATACCGCCCTTCTCAGCCCAGAGACTTAGTTATTAAGGAATTATAGGTCTTAAAATTAAAATGCACAAAAAATGAAAAAAGTTATCATCTAGTGCAGAAAAGATCACAGTATACAAGAGTAGTTTAGGGGAGGGCAATTCATAACTAGGTTACACTACTACTGGAAAGATCCTCTGTAATGGCCACCAGATACACCATTAGATATATGATAAAGTATGGTATAATTGTTAGGAAAAACCACCCTAAAATACAGCAGAGAATCCAAACATCAAACAGGATACAAAAAGTTGAGCATCAGCTCACAGCTTGCAAAGCATGATGTACCGTTGGTTGTGGCTGTTTCAGAGCTTGGGAAGCAAACATGCAGAGTCCAATCTTAAAAACTCACAAAATGTTTATTTACAATAATAAAGAACTAACTACATTTCTTCATGGTAAAGTATTGGGTCTGAGGTACTTTTAACACCCATCTCTTCTAAAGTTTCAAAGAGAAGGAAAAATCATGCAAGCACTACATCTCTGACACACAGAGAGAGATCTCAAAGCACACAGCACATGCTTTCCATACTAAAGTGTAAGAAGGCAGAAGTCAGATTCAGAAAGGCTTGCAGTAGAGAAGTATCCATATTAAACAACCAATCAGAATGAGAGCCAAAAGAGAGAAGAGAGAAGAAAAAGATACATTCCCAATTGTCATTCAGGAGACATGGGGTAAGGGAAACCCTTAATAATAATAATAATAATAATAATCTTTATTTGTACCCCGCTACCATCTCCCCAAAGGACTCAGTTTGGCTTACATTAGGCCGAGCCCACAATACAACAATGGAACAATAGCAACAATAATACAACAATAAATAAAATTCATAAACAGAAAATAGCAATAAACATTAACAATAACACAACGACGTTTAAAAACCTATGGCAGGGCCAAATGTACTATTTAAATTTTAAAAAATAATGCTGGGCTTAGTCTATACTAAGCTAACTAAACTGTTTTTCATTGAGGACTTGAGACTTGGGCAGTGTGGGGTTGGAAATGGCCCATATAACCATAATGTGGTTATATGGGGCATTTCCAGTTACGGTAATCGTTTCCTTTCCAATATTTTTGGGCTCACTGATGTTTTCTGTCAGTTTCCAAAGGGAGCCCCACATGTGACACTGCAGTAACCCAAATGGGAGTTTAGCAGAATATTCTCAATTGCAGCAAGATTCTCTGTCAAAACAGCGTTGTAGTTGATAGTCGCACCTTAAAACTGGAAAAAGGCACTACTTGCTGGGGAGATGATAATGCTAGATTGAAGAGTATCTGTGGAAGCGTAACTGTTCCTTAGTTGGACTGTGTTGCAGATATCCTCCTTATTTCCTTATAGTCCTCAGCTCAAATCTGTATTAAAGATATGTGCAGGATCTACCAATAAGGAATGAGTCCACTTCAAAATCTCGATCCCTCTTTTTAGAGGGAATAAGGTAGCTTTACTTTTGGATCTTCTCTTTTCTCAGTGAACTCCTAGTGTTCTTCTAGCAAAGACCAACCTTCACAAACAGAGGTCAATCCTTTCTGGGCAGGCTTTGTTCTCAACTGTTGGTGTTTATGCAAGCAAGGAAGGGAATTTAATAATTGCAGAAATTAAATGATGCTCAATTATTCAAATTTGGACTTTCCTTTACTTTTAGCAGTTATCTGCAAGAAATAAACGCGAACCATATGCTAACTAAAGCCTTTTTCTTTTATTTTTAATCTGATGATGATTTTAATAGTTGTTCTTTTTGTTGTTGAAAAGTTAGCCTTAAATTTAAGTAAATAAAATGTGTATATTTGTGTATGTGAAATATTTTTTTGTGTAAAGCTATGGTAACTTATAAAGTAGGCAGCTTATTGCCCTCTGGTGGTGTCAAGGATAGGGGTTAAGGCGGTTTGTTTAATGAACAGAGAAGCAAAGCACTGATTGTGTCCCTTTCAGTATTTTTACCTCAAAGCTTGTTCTTCTGTGTGTGCTTTCCTAGGTAACCAATGGAACAGTAAATATAAAAACCATTATGAAAACGTGGACTACCCAGAAAGGATTTCCCTTGGTGATTGTTAGAAGGGAAGGAAAACGTATCAATTTGCAGCAAGAGAAATTTGAGCATGATTTGGAAAACCAGACCTTTCCTTCAAGGTTTATTTTTTTCCTTTTGTTTTTCCTTTGAGTAGCCTGCCTGCAGGTTTTTCCTTCAACTTCAGGCATTTAAGTCTAAGACATTGTATCTATCTACTTGTAAAATATTTTCCTATGTGTATTTTTAGATATATTCTTCTTTATACATTGTTAGGCACTAGACTTCCCTCCTTACTGCATTTAAAGTTGTGCAATAGATTGGGGAAGCAATTATAAGATGAAAGTGGAGGGTGAGGTGTCAATAAAGTAAAATGCATTTGTAACATTTCAGGAATTCCATAATTTCTGTATGGAAAACAAGGTTAGTAATGGATCTCCAGTTTATTTTATAGGGTCTGATGTATTGGTAATGAACTTTACTCCTTGCAAGCCATTTGTAAGATTTCTGTGCATCTTGCAGTGCATGTTACTAAAATTTCATTCATGATGAGAGCAATGTTGGGGTGGGCAACTTGTGACTCTCCAGAAGCTGTTGGATTGCAGCGTTCATCAACCCTAAGCTGAGAAATGCTGGGAATTGTAGTCCAACTACATCTGGAGTGCCATATATAGAAGCAATGATAGAAAGAGGAATATTAATTTGGAAAATAGGAAGTTGTGTGTCATAAAATAAAAAGAGTATCAATATAAACCCATTTTGCACATGCCAAGTAGCAGAAAAGTATTCTTTCCTTGATTTATTTTTTCTGTAGTAATTTGGATTTGCTGCTCCTTTTTCCTTTCCTTTTCTTTTTGCTGTAAAATAATGTGTGAATAGGAGGAATGAAAGAATTAAAGCAATAAGGTAGACTTTCTCTGCTAACCACACAGACCTCCAGGAAGTGACTATAATGACCCATCCAATGTAGTCTAATGAAGTTCTAAGCCAGTGTATTTTTTAGGAGCTAAAGCTGCAAACCTTGGCTCTTTGACATTAAATGGGGGACAGTAAGTTGCTGACACTTCTTTCTACATTCAGGAGAATCAATTGCTATCATTCATAACTTCCAAAAAAAATGCTCTGAGCAGGCAAATCTGGATATTAAATGAAGGATGGGGACTACTGATAAGTTGTTTGTCATCTAGCCAGCTTGCCATGGTTACAGTTACAGAAGCCTGATTCCATTCATATAGTGCCCCCTCGAAATGACAGTATTTGTGTGGTTTTATATGTAGTGGAAGAGGTGTCATTACAGTCAAAGAAAAAAAGCTGAACTCATTTCAGTGCTGGATGGGGCACTGAATTAAGAGGAGCGTTCTCTTTCCTCACCTATAATACAGAAAACTCAAATAAGCCATAATACTAAGAACACCTAAGGATTTAATGCTGATGTGGTGGTGATGGTAATAATGATACTTTACTGCCACTTAGGTGAATTTTCTCCTACTTTGTATTTCCGCATATATCCGTAGTTAGAAAATGGCTTTTAAATGTTTGTGTGTATGCAATTAAAACAAAAGTTCCTTCAAGATCTATTTGTTTAGGTAGTAATTGCTTCTGCAAAACACTTCTATTGGCATTTTCATCAGTGGGGTAAACTGCAGCAAGCCACACAAGCAACTATCAGTATATTCCGAGGAATTACCATTAATACATTGACTTGTTTCTGTAGTTATGATGATTATTTTTACCCTGGGGATATGTAGTAATGCGTTTTCCCTTTTAATTTAACTATGTGCATATCCACATAAATATTGAGAATAGTAGCTAGAGTTATCCTACACAAAAGTGTAGAATTTTACAATAAGTATGTAATTACTTTTCTTTTTCAGTTCCCTGTGGCGTATACCTCTTTCTTACAAGGCCAGCAATCACAGTTCATTTCTCCCCTTTAACGTATATTTACTGGAAAAAAAGTCAGGTATGCTTTGTGTCTTTGTGTGTGTCTCTTGAAAACATGGGAAGGGGGTGACAATGACTGACTTCATTTAGAGAAATTCATGTCACAAAAAACTCAGTAGTTCCAACCCCTGGTTCCTTTCACTCACCTTACTCTTTTTCATCTTGTAATCTCTCTCTGGATTGGGTACCCTATGTGGATCAATGGATGTGTTGTTCTGTGGGTTCATTGTGGTAAGCATGACCAGATACTGAATGGTATCAGCCAGACACAATTGGAAAAAAAAGAAAGATCAAGCAAGCAGAAGAGAATTATTAAGACACATTGAGATAACACATTAAACCCTATTTAGTTCTTCTTTCTAACTTACAGTTCTAGGTCTGGTATAGCTTTTCCCTGTTCTTAGGCCATCTATTCTTCTTTCTACATCACCTTTCCCCATAATTGCCTTGTGTCAGAAACAAGCTGCAGTTTTGTATCATTCCCGCATACCATAGCCCCCCCCCCCCAGCGTTCCCTGAGCTGTGATTGGCTGACTTGCTCTTCATAAGGCTAGAATTTGGAAATGTAACCTTTTTTTAAAAAAAAAATGACATGTCTAAATATATTGAGCACTTCTGAAGGTAGATACAGAAGATAAGAGAAAGGGAAGGGAATGTATCTGAATGGAAACATTGCATGGCTAATTTAACAACACACCCTGTTTACTTAAACCCAGCTAATGTATACATATAAAGCTGTGTTTCTGTTGCACCCTACTTCTTTTGCTAATTATGAGCATATTGTGCTCCTCTCTTTTGAGATTTGTAGATCCAGGTCTTTGATGTCTAATCTGAATGTACTTTCTATTTGGCTGAAGGTAGCTCTTTGAACATAGCAGACCTGCTTTGAAGTTTTAATGGAAGCCAAAATTGTTGTGGATAGCTTTATGTAACATAAATTACACTATCTAAGATATAGAATGAATGGGGCAGTAGAGCCAACAACAAAGATGGTTTGGAGCCTTGACCTTGTCCTCAACGCACTGAGTAAGCCCCCTTTTGAGCCTATATATCAGTGGATATGCTGTACATGTCCTGGAAGATGGGCTTTTTGGTAGAAATTACTTTGTCTAGAAGGGCAAGCGAGTTGTGTGCTCTTTGATTGGAGGCATCATATCTTCGGTTCCAAAAGGGCAAAGTAGAGCTCTGTACTGATAACGCTTTTCTGCCCAAAATAGCATCTAAGTTCTAAATATTAGGAAGGATTTTGAATATTGAAACAAATCAATCCTCTCTTTCTGCCCAGGTTTTATTGACCTTCCAGACCCAGTGGAGTGGATAAAATTCAATGTAGACTCAGATGGTTACTACATTGTCCAGTATGCGGAAGATGACTGGAATGCTCTAATTGAATTACTGAAGACAGATCCCACTGCTCTAAATCCCAAAGACAGAGCAAATCTGATCCATGACATTTTTAATCTAGCAGGGTAATTCTTTGTTTGTTTGTTTGTTTGTTTGGGGAGGTTGTTAAAGTAAAAAAAACAACAATCACCACATTTGAGCAAAATGCTTGACTGTTTCTTATTGATGTTCCTTTAGGGTGGGAAAAGTACCTTTGGCCAAGGCCTTTAAGTTGATTGACTATTTAGAAAAAGAAAACAGCACTGCTCCAGTCATGCAAGCTTTGAACCAAATGAGCCATATCTTCAACCTTGTTGAAAAAAGGAGAATGCAGGACCTTTCATCCAGAGTACTGGTAAGTTCTTGAAAAGTTGTGCAGTTCTGAAGGTTAGAGAGGCTGTGTCAAGTAGCAGCACGATTCCTTGTGAAAACTATCTCTGTATGGAATCTGTTGTATTTTTGTTTATGAAATGTTATGTGTAATGATATCTCACTCACTCTGTAGACCTTGCCACTTAAAAGCATGTTGTAGTATCTTAGTGGATGAAAATACCAAATGCATATAAATACATTCCTTGTATCATGGTGAACAGAGATGCATATTCCAGACAAAACAGAAGAAATAGCACACAATACTTTTCATTTCTTCAAGCTTCTAATATTTTTAACTAAATATTATCTATTCTAGTCATATGCTTAAGACTGCTAGTACCCATTGCATGGGGCTGGGTCTAGGAAGAGGTTTTGCCTTTCCGTGGGGTTTGGCAGACCTCTAATGTTCCTCTAACTCCCATGTTTAAAAAGAAATTTCCAAGGACAAATTATCCATCCATTAGACTACTAGATGCAGCAGTCTATAATTTGAATGTAATTTCATCCCAGACCACCTTTAGGCTAGAACAAGCATTTCTTTAAAAAAACAAAAAAAAAAACAGGATTTGTCTGAAATCCCTTTTTTGCCATTTAAAATAGGATAAGGGTTGGGAGTGGGATATGACATTTAAATGATAAATCATGCTCTATAAGATAAATTGCCATTTTGCAGGGTGTTCAGGCAACTTAGAATATAGTCTGGAGCTGCGCTGTGCATTTTGGGAAGCCAGATTTCCCTTAAAAAAGTGTACTTTCACTAATGAAAGAAGGTTTTTTAGAACAAGAAAAATGTGACTTTTTTATGACATGCAGTGCCTACAGTGAGATGTTTTCCTTGTACCGCCTCTTTACAACTTTACTGCTCATCCTACATTCCTGACAGTTAATCAATTCTAATATTATTTCTTCATGGAAAAATATAGTTTGTAACTAACAAGTGCTACAAAGAAATAATTACAGAATGTCTGCAGTAGTTTGGTGGAAATTTTAGCCTTTGCTGTTTTGTAGTACAAGATAAACAAGTTACTTGGGGACAAGATAAACCAGCAGACATGGACAAATAATGGGACCCTCTCTGAACAAGAGCTGCAGTCAAACCTATTAACGTTCGCCTGTTCCCATGGCTTGGGAAAATGTACCGAGACTGCTATTCAGCTGTTTAACAAGTGGAAGGACTCCAATGGCACAGAAAGGTAAAACCTTAAAAGTGTTATTTGGTTCAAACCATGTTTGCATTACAAAAAATTAATTTGTACAAAAATGTGAATTGACCGCTGTCTCCACAAAAGGATGGTACTTTTTCTTTATATTGATTTATATTGACATCTTTTTACTAGATGAGAGACTATACTGTCAATAGATGCTTTTGCCACAGAAGCACAATATAATAGCAAAACCATTTCCTGATTGTTCATATACAAACTAGATTGGTGCAAAATGCAGCTTTCTCCATGTTTCCATGGGCTCTTTAATCTGATTGCAGCCAAACTGAAGCTAGATGTTGCAGTCAAGCTTCAAGGAAGATTAATATGTAAAGTATAGATGAGTAACTTTGTGAAGGCCAAGAGTATTTCCCTTGCTGACCTTCCTTCCCAGAGGAAGCACAATTAACACTGTTTTCCTCTGCAATCCCTCTCAAAATAATTACAGAACGTGATAGGTTGCTGAGGAAAACAAAAGTGTTTGCAGGTTATATGTGGTTTGGGGTATTTGTGTAGATGGGGAGTGCTTGAATATTTGCATGTGAGTAGAAGACTTCCTGTGTGATTTGGAGTACAGATTTTAACAAGATAGGTCAGAGTCTGAAAAAAGATCACAAAAGTCAGGTTCTAGGGCTGAAGACAGCCCTAGTACAGCAAAGAGTGGGGCTGGACTGTCCATTAGTTAACTTTCACAGCTGCAGCTATCAGAGCTTCATCTTTTGTCATCTTAACTCTATTTTTTGTGAACACTTGGAAACAAAATGGAAGTTGGCTCTGTGCCTATGGGACATGACCCTGCATGTCTGCTGTCTCGTGACATTGGTCAAAAATAGCACTTGTAATGGTATGCCATTATTGAATCATTCATGTGATTGTAGTCGTGTCAGCATAGTCCATGAACCAACACATAGGTTTTTCAAGCCACAGTACTTTATCCTAATGAAAATGTGAGTAACCCTTCACTCTGTTCTGATACAATTTTTACACAAGGAATTACAATGTTTCATAACATAGCATTGGCTCATAGTTGCCAAATATCTAAAAGGTTTTGCAGTGCAAACTTGTATATCATGCAGATTGTTTCATCTGTTTGAGAATTGTTTGGAGAAAAGCTATCACTCATCCTGTTTTACCTAATGCTTTGATGTGGATGATATTTTTTGTCTATTCTCATAAAGGTTTTCCTTTCCTTTTCCCCTTCTCTTTAGCCTGCCAACAGATGTTATGAAGATCATATTCATAGCAGGGGCGAAAACTGGTTCTGGCTGGGACTTCCTTTTAAGCATGTATCATTCTTTGGTTTCTGAACCAGAAAAGCTCAAAATCCTTGAAGCACTGTCCAGCTCAGATGATGTTAGAAGACTGAGCTGGTATGAAGCTGTTCCCCCAACTGACATGCTGCTCACTTTTACTGTATTAATTTTGGCTACCTTTTGTTAAACCAGTTGAATATGGTTGATTGATTTAAATATGGGTCATTGAGAAGAGCGCAGTGCATCTGGTGACATAGAGTAGATGTGTCTTCCTTCAGGTCAGGTTGGAGCATGTATATTTCACAACAGTATGGAAACAAAATAGAATAAATATTTTAAATATGGGAGTGGGAGCTGAGAATCAAGGAAACTTGCACAGCTTGAATAAATAATAACAAGCATGTTCTGTTTGCGCAGATGTTCATTTAGTCTTGTTGGAAAATCAAAGCCTGTGCTTATGTTGTCTTACTACAGACATCCATGTACCGTATGTTTAAATTGGACTGCAAGGAAACAAACCTGAACAGGGTTTTAAATTGCAGCACAATGTATCATTTTAAGGGTTTTATATAAGATTAGCCATCCCCTGCCAGGTGTTGCTGTGGCCCAGACTAGTAATCTGGAAAGGAAAGTAATGAGAAAGTGTTGGTTTCTAATATATGTAATTTCTTTATGCTTGTGGATAAACAGCATTTCTTGTTTCTTTTGTCATTGTTGATGTAGAGATTATCTGGTTTGCCAACTCTGGATAATGCAACATATAATTGTCCTTTTTTTCTGAATAATATTTATTTCGATTAAAATACAAAATACATTTTTTTTATTAGTAATGCAGTTAAAAGAATGGGAAATTGGGAGCGGGGAAAGAATATAAAGAGAATCAGTAGCTTTAGATAGCTAATATAAGAGTTTAGTTAGAATGATTGAGATTGAGGGAAAAAGAAAGAATAGCAGTTGCGTAGTGTGTGGGGGTGTGTGTTTGTGTAGAAATAGAAAGAAAAGCAGTGAGGGGTATAAAAGTAGATAAGAGTGTAGCATTTTTGACTTCCCGGTATCTTCTATGAGGTTCTTTCCTTTTCCTTCTTTGTTCTTTTTATCTTGTTCTCCCTCTATTCGTATTATCCATCTGTCTCTTTTTAAATAATTATTTTCATGTTCTTTTCTTTTATTAGGTATGTTGTTACTTGTTTCCAATCTGGCATGCCCTTCTTTTTAGATAATAAATAAGTCAGTTTATCCATATTTCTTATGTCTAGGATTTTTGTTAGCCACTCCATTATAATTGTCCTTCTTTAGGGGCCCCTTTCAAATCTATGATACTATATCTGTCATATACATATGTGTGTGTGTGAATCATCTATATCTATCTATATCGATGGCTGGATGGATCTTTGTCAAGAGGGCTTTGTTTATGTTTTCTTGCCCTGGTGAAGGGAGTTGGACTGGATGGCGTTAAGGCAGCATTTCTCAAACTCGGGGTCAGAACTCCAGGGGGGTCGTAAGAGGGTGTCAGAAGAGTTGCCAAAGACCACCAGAAAACACAGTATTTTCTGTTGGTCATGGAGGTTCTGTGTGAGAAGTTTGGCCTAATTCTATCATTAGTGAGGTTCATAATGCTCTTTGATTGTAGGTGAACTATAAATCCCAGTAACTACAACTCCCAAATGTCAAGGTCTATTTTCCCCAAACTCCATCTGTGTTCATATTTGGGCATATGGAGTATTCGTGCTAAGTTTGGTCTAGATCTTTCATGGTCTGGGGCCGATGCACCTGAGGGACCGCCTCACCCCCTACCAACCCCAGAGATACCTCCGTTCTGAGGACCAAGATCTATTCGAAATTCCCAGTGTCAAGACCTTGCGTCTAACAGCAACCAGACGCAGAGCCTTCACAGCAGTGGCACCATCACTTTGGAATACTCTGCCACCTGAAGTCCGTGCCTTGCGGGACTTACCAGCTTTCCGCAGGGCATGTAAGACATACCTGTTTCGACAGGCTTTTAATATTTGATACTGCTGTTTTTAAATTGTTTTTAAATTGCTTTTAAATTATGTTAGATTTTAGCCATTCTTGTAAGCCGCTCTGAGCCCCAGGGGAGTGGCAGCATATAAGTTCAAATAATAAATAAAATAAATTGTTTGAGTCCACAATGCTCTCTGGATGTAGGTGAACTACAGCTCCCAAACTCAAGGTCAATGCCCACCAAACCCTTCTAATGTTTTCTGTTGGTCATGAGAGTCCTGTGTGCCAAGTTTGGTTCAATTCCATCGTTGGTGGAGTTCAGAATGTTCTTTGATTGTAGGTGAACTATAAATCCCAGCAACTATAACTCCCAAATCATTTTTTTAGTGATGGTCACTCCTTGGATCTGTAGGTGTCTTCTGGCCAAATTTGATGGCAATTAGTCCAGCAGTTTTTGAGTTCTGATGTCACTCAAAATGAACAGAGTATTTATATATATATAGACTAGTTGTCCCTTACCACGTCTTGCTGTAACCCAGTCTGTGTATATGTGTTTTGTGTGTGTATATATTTTTGTATATGTGTATATATGTGTGTTTGCAGATGTGGTTTTACGCATGCATTGTAATGTATTTTTTGTTTTTTGGCTTTTTAAGTCCCTTCCACTGTTTTTTTCAGTGTTTTTATGAGTGATGGTCACTTGTTGGCCTGAGAGGTGTACTGTGTCCAAATTTGGTGTCAATTCGTATAGTGGTTTTTGAATTATGTTAATCCCACAAACAAATATTACATTTTTATTTATATAGGTTATTATTAACTGAACTCCAGGCTGTGAAGCCATCTAATACAAAATAATATATTTTTTTCTAATTTGAGTCTCAAATATTATGCCTAATATTGAAAAGCAACCAAGTAACTATAAACAGGTTGTAGTTTGCTATGAATTATCTAGTTCAGGTGATAGGTGATAAAGATCTCTTGGAAGTATAAAATACCCATGTCTCTGTCTATTTTCTTTTAAAGGTTAATGCAAACAAGCCTGAAAGGAGACATCATCAGATCACAAGATCTTCCAATTGTTATAACTACAGTCAGTCAGAATTTTCCTGGGCACTTGCTGGCATGGGACTTTGTCAAAGAGAACTGGGATCAGCTGATAAAGAAGTAAGTCCTTCTTTAGTTCTCATAATAACTAATGTGTGTACCTCCACATCCCAGGGATGTCATATCAACAGTTTCTAGCCTTTCTTCTTTCAGTTGTTTTAGACATAAATTCCTACCATTCTTAGCCATTGGCTATGCTAATTGGGGCTTTGGGGAGTTGGAGTGCAAAACATCTAAGGACCAGCAGCTCAGTAGCACTGAATTTCCTAAACCAACTGCATGTCTCTTTAACAAAGTGACACTGCCGATGCTGGTAAGCATCCTGTCTAGATCTGCTCTAATTCCTTGGATCTAGGTAACTGAAACTGCTATTGTTGAACAAAATGTGCGTCACTGGAACAATATAACACTGATTCTGAGGTCAATTTTGGAAACCAAGCAGGGGCAGCTCTGGATAGTATCTGAATGGGAAACTGATGTTAATTATTGCCAGCTCTGTGTATTCCTTGCCTAAGAACACCATATAAAATTCATGGGATCATCATAAGTCCCAAGCAACTTGAAGGCACACAAATACTGAAGACTTTAAATTGTTTCAATTTTCAGTAAACTTGACGTGATTTGCTATGATGTCTTTTAAGCAACTGTGACTATTATTGCTAGAAGTTGGTGGCTAGCTCCCTATCTTTGGAAGATCTGGGGAAAAACTCAGCATAGCCTAGAAGCCAATAATGTATTAGTCAGTTATAAACAAGTTGGTCTTAAAATTGGTTTCTTATTTTGAAAATGGTATGTACTATATTCATCATGAGTTTCATAAATATATTAACTATCATTTGAATTAAATATACTCCAAGTAAACATTAGTAATGTTGATTCATTTTCCTGAATTTCAGATTTCACCGTGGATCATACACTATTCAAAATATTGTAACTACAACAACATGCCACTTCTCCACCCCAGAACATCTGCTAGAGGTTTGTTGCATAAAGTGTTGCAAAGACTATTACAAATCAATAGGAAATAGGAACCAAAATGCAGTTTGTCTTGCATTAATTGTTTCTTTTTTTGTTGATAATAATGTAGGATCCCTCCACTAAAAGTATAGAAATGATTTTCAGTAAGCTAATTCATTTACTAATATGATAGTTATCAGCTTAAACTTTATGCATTTCAAAAAATTAAGAAATTATGTTTCTTTAATTGTTGAAGGCAATCATCTTAGTTATTAAGTTTTGTGAAATAGTCAGTCTGGATTTTCAATATGGTTAATCCATAAATGTACAAATCACTAGAATTTGAATGAATTTTATATAGGTGAAGTCAAACAAGCACCAAGTGCTAAAACAGCTACATTTAACTGTGCAGAACCTCGCTTTTCCCTCTTAGTCCAATTTCATATTTCCTCTATATTCCATTTTTCTGCTTTTGTTCCTTTCCTTAATCCCCAGTACGAGTCCCAGGTGGTGCAGCGGGTTAAATTGCTGAGCTGCTGAACTTACTAACTGAAAGGCCTGTGGTTTGAATCTGGGGCGCAGGGTGAGCTCCTGCTGTTAGCCCCAGCTTTGCCCAATCTAGCAGTTCGAACACATTCAAATGTGAGTTGCTTAATAGATATCACTTCAGCGGAGAGGTAATGGCACTCCATTCAGTCATGTCGGCCGCACGACCTTGGAGGCCTCTATGGGCAATGCCGACTTTTTGACTTAGAGAAATGGAGATGAGCACCAACCCTCAGAGTCGGACACGACAAGACTTAATGTCAAGGGGAATCCTTTACCTTTACTTAATCCCCAGTATGCTCCTGTTCATTGATTTCTTCTATATCCTTCCAAAACTGGAGGCAGGGAGGGGGGAGATCCTTCTTCCTCGTTCCGTCCACTCTGGTCTTTTGCTCCTTCTGCTATCCCACTCGTTACAGATGGTCTTTTTGGTAAGGTTATGACTAAGCTGCCCCCCCCCCCCAACGTCCAGGGCACTGAACTACAAAAAGCAGAGGAGGTTCTCATGCTTCCACAATAGCATTGTTGGTTTTCGGAAATAATAATAATAATAATAATAATAATAATAATAATAATAATACTTTATTTTTGTACCCTGCCTCCATCTCCCCAAAGGGACTCAGGGCAGCTAAAATCGGGCCAAGCCCATTCAAGAGAGAAAATGTAACACATCAAAATGCATAACAATAGTGTAAAACAAAGGAAAACAACAAAATTGTAATGATATAAATCAGGCATCAAAATCCAGAACCAATAACAAAATTCAGTTTATCCACTTCTTACGGAGGACACATTGTTTCTTTCATGTCTTCTCTACCTTGTGTGCCAGGACTCATCCAGGACCTGGATGGGTTATGTCAACTAAACACAACATTGTCTAACTTTGGGCTCTTCCAGTAAAAGCATTTGTATCCTTTCATTTTGGTGGGATTTTACAGTCAGAATTCATTATTACCTCATTTAAGTGTTATTGTGGGGAGAACTGGGGAGGAAAAGGTGTACATTGTTAAACACTGTTTCCTTCTTTGACTACCCTCAGAAGAAATCCCCACCATCCAGTTTTAACCCATGTGTTATATTACTCTTTTAGGTTAAGACATTCTTTGAATCTAAGTCAGAAGAGACTTTTCACCTGCGGTATGTCCAAGAAGCCATTGAGACAATTCAGTTGAACATCCGGTGGATGGAGAAAAACTTGGCAGAACTAGAAAAATTGCTATAGTGGTGACAGTTCCTGGAGAGCTTCGATTAGCCACTTGGAATGTTGCAGCTCTTGCTCTTTTGCTGCTTGTGCAGAGAGTCAGGGCTGGAAATGGGTGATGCAACTGTTTTTGCACTGTGAGAGGATTCTAGTTAGCTCAGGGTACATCTTTTCCTATGCTGGCTCTCTTTGGAGGGTTTGGGGACTTGACATATTTGCTGATTAAGAGGATGTTTATTCATTGACCAACATTCTCACAATACAAGGACAATACTTTTTATCATCATAGTACAGCTCCCTTCCATTATAGGAAAGTCCAGTTCCATTTTCTTCATACTGAAAAAGACATCAAAACAAAAGAGAGCAAGACGAGAACTCTCCTGAGGGCTGCTTATTCTTCGCAAAGCACTGTTTAATTAGCCTTCCTCATTGTTCATCGCTTCTTGAACTGTAAATACTATGCCTGCTGTGAAGCATGTGGGTTTTTAAATTAACATGATTATAAACAGCTGCTAAGATGCACATAATGGAGGTGAGCAAAAAGTTGGATTTCGGGAAGTTCTAGATCTTGATTTATCAAAGTGTTTTCTAAAAATGATACAGATGTAAGAAATATATATCTATATATAATATAAACAATTATTGTTAGAAATTTTTATTTTTGTCTGCAACATAGCTGGGTGCTATGGATACCACGCACTGAATAATTCAAATAGTTTTTGTAAAGACAGAGGTTAATATTGTGTTTTTTGATGGTGGTGGTGAAACTATGCTGAAAAATACAAATTGTCAAAAAGCATCTGAGTGGTAGTTTGGAGAACATTTTATACCAAGAAAGTTTTGTGATGAAGATTTCCTTTTCCCCAAGGTATCCCAGGAATTCAAAATGTCTTTTTGTGAATATTTATTTTTTTCATGAGTAATACCATAAGCTAGAATCGTTACACTGTTGTATTTTCTACCCCAAAAATTAGTTTTGGCTTGCCCACAAGGCAGGTGGCTGGAGTGTTTTACATCCAGCAAAATGAAGAAAATTTGGCCCAAACTTCTGCTTCTTGAGGATGCTGTCTGGCTTTCAGATCATGTATTCATTTCATTTATGTGCCAAATAGCATTTACCATACCATTGTGGCAGTACAAGAATTGTCAGTCTGCAAATTCTGCAGCTTTTGAATCATTCAGATACATTGAAGTCAAGATGCTTCACCATTGTTTGAGTATCCAGTCCTTTCTGGAAATAGTCATATCTGTTCTTTAGCCAAAATCATTGGTTTGCAAGCCATGAAACATGTCCAACATGCTTTCACCAACAATATAATCATCACATTTGTTAGTGTAAATTACCTCATGCCTATGAAGTGCTCCTTCCTTGTGCAGGGTATTTATGATGAAGCAGATAGCAAAGCACTTGGAGGTCATTTAACAGAAATAATGCACATGGTGTTCAGTACAGCTCCATAGTGACATCTCACCAATTCAAAATACACGGAGAAAATGAGCAGGATACATACTTGGTTTAAGTCTTCCAGTCACTTGATCTTTCACATGGGAATCCCAAAAGTTTTCAGTCTTCCGATATTACTTTCCCGTTGTTTTCTGTGTTGTCTATATCAAAAATGAATGCTTAATAGACATGTGCAAGATCTTTTCCAAATAAGCCGTCAGCATCAAGTCAGAATGTTGATGAAAATTTTGAGTTCCTCCCTCAATTTAAAAAAAAATAGAAAACTTAAGCCCCTGTTCAAAGGTATATTAAGGTATATGTTTGGAAGTCCAGATAAAAGCTGACACATTTAGTGGTTGTTCAGAGATGTTCTTAATCACTTGCGCCATTAGGCAAGCATTACCTGAATGGCCCAGAGATGAACTAAAACCATGTGCCACATCTCCTGTGGTGTTCCGATCATAACCTGGACTTGCTGGCAAATAAAAGCCCCTCACTACGGACACCTGCCAGGCATTTTGGTGGTTGATATCCCTTTTTCTGGTTTGGCCTACTGTGGGATATTTTCCAAAGACTGATTTGTGTTGACTTTGCATATGGTTGGGCAACTTGTGCATTCTCATCATCAAGAGCAGTGAGTTTAACTTTCATGCTCCTTCTGTCAGTTGGCAGGAATTCATTGGAGTGATGCTAAAGGATGCATATAGATGAGTTGAAAAATATGTACAGCAGCTCCCATAATGTTTGTAGTGGGAGCCATAGTTTTGTTTCAGTAATTAGACTACACAAGACAGTCAGAGCTTGGCAGGCTGACATTTCAGTGCTGGTAGCTTTTGCTATTGAGAGGAAGATTTCAGTATGGAATTAGTCAATCATGTTAATAACCCTAAGATGTTGGATCCTATCTTCCTAGATAACAACAACAACAACAACAACAACAACAACTTCATTCTTATATCCCACCACAATTTCTCCAAAGGGACTCAGGCTAGCTTACACATGGCACAAGGTGCCTAAAAATAGAACATAAAATAAACACAGTATAAAATATAATAAGCAAAACACATACATATATAAAACAACCAAAACTCAACAAAACCGCTGTTGTAAATGTGGCCAGACTATGGACAATAGGGCAAGAGAATGGTATAAGTGCAGAGCTGTAACAATGGAGAGGGCATGGGATAAAAATGCAGGCTGCATGACTGTTACCAGAACAGTTAGGGACTAAGCATTCTCAAAAGCTTGTTTCAATAGCCACATCTTCAAGTCTTTACGAAAGGAAGACTGTGGGGGCCTACCTGATCTCCCAGGAGAGGGCGTTCCAAAGCCGAGGGGCCACCACCAAGAAGGCCCTCTCTCTCATCCTCAGCAACTGCATTTGTGATGGTGGCAGGACTGAGAGGAGAGCCTTCCCGGCAGATCTTAGAGCCTGCTCTGGTTCATGGCGGGGGCGGGGGGGGGGGATAGCTGTGAAACTCTGACTTGGTGTCATTTCTAGCATTAGAGCAGGGTAAAGACAAATGTTCCTAACTAAATGTCTTTTTTCTAATTTTATTTCATAGTTCTCCCAGTGGATCTTCATTAATGCATGCTGAGGAATCTTTTAAATCTCTGTCTTCCTTATGTCTCCAAATCCCAGTTTTATATAATGCAGTACTGGGCAGCTTGCTTTTATTCCCCATGTGCTGCCTTTAAAAACAACACAGGCATGAAACCGATTCGTAGTATGCTTTAAAACTATTTGGAACCATTGTGAAGGTAGAATGATTAGGTTGACAATCAAATCTAGCTGTTCAATTATGAATTTAACACCATCAAAATGATTTAAAAAATCTCTTATGGATAAAACAGTTTGTGAGGGGAGGAAGAAAATTTCCTTAAATTATTTGAGAATGTACTTTTGGGGACTTCTGAATCATTAATAGTCTGAAGGCAGATCTATCAATACTGATTAGAGCCCTTTAAAAAACCTGATGGAACCAAAAACATTATCTTGTATACTCTTTTGCCAGGAGGAGAGGCAATCTTGTTTGCTGGGGAATGAGTGAAAAGTAGGGGAAAATTCTGTGGAATGACTGCTATCTTAATTCTCTTTCAAGTCACCTGATTGTGTACCTTGAATATAATGCGTACATGCACTTGCTACTGAAAATATGACTTGTACTTGAAAATACAGTGCAGATGTATTCTAGAGTTATGAACATGTTTAAATTAAAACTTTAAGAATATTTTTCAATTATTTATCTTTCTGTTATGAATCTTGCATTAGGTTGCACCTAATGTTTAAATAGAAATGTAAATTCAACTTTGGTTAGCTCATATCTGAATCTGAGACCCAAGCCCCAATGGAAACAAACAAAATTCTTTGTTTTCTTTCTGAATTGGAAGGTGTGGAGAGCAAGGGAGAAGTTCAAGCTATAAGTGACAGCTCATGCTTACTTAATATTAATGTAACCTGAACTTGTCTTGCGTCTCCTTCAAAAGAAAAATGTACTGTATTAATATGAGATGTCAACTTTTGTGTACTAAAAGATTTTCTGCTATGTTTAGGGCTAATGTCAGTAGTTTTTGTTTCCTTCTTCATTTGATTTAAAGTTTCCTAGCATACAAAGACTTGCTTTTCATGCCAGGCCCAAAACTGTTGTGTTTTAAGATATGTTAATTTAGCACCGTATGCGTGTGTATCTTTATCCCAGTAAAGTGTGACAACACCCCCAGTTTCGCATACACAGCATTGAGAACATCATTACATTTTATGGTGAAAAATTTTGAAATCTTTTGATTTTTAAAAGAAACTTCAGTGTAGAAATATACTGCATAAATTAATATTTTCTCCCAGTTTGTGCATTAAAGCATTCTGGATTTGGTTTGTATCAATCATGACTGTATTTTAAATCAAATAGTAATAACTGTTCATGTGCCTTAGAATATATTATAAGGACTATGAGATTAATATATTAATATATAATAGAAGCCTGGCTTTAGCCAGACAAACAACCTTCTTTCACAACTGTCTTCATGGGCTATAAAAGAGGTGTGGCTGTAGAATAATACAATAAAGGAAAATATTTTAGTTCAAGTTAAAAATCCTTGTCATTCTGAAATAATATTTGAAATAAACCTGATTTTAGTCTGTCTGAGAGCTTGGAGCTTGCAACCACTATCCAGAGTTTGACTATTTCCAACTTGCATATGTGTATCCATACAAACACACGCATGAATGTAGAGGGAGAAAGCATACAATTTACATGGATTTTCTTTTGATTTGTTATACAAAGCTTTCAGAAGTATGTGATGCATATGTGCATGTGTACTCCCATAACATGATTCCTACATCAATCACATTTTGACACTGCTGACAGCAGTAGGGAAAGGGCAACTTGTATGAGAATCACCATAAGAGGGATTTGAAAGCCTTTATGATGTTAAAACCAGAGGAAGGAAGGTGGTGGGGGCCCACAGGGTGTCCCTGGTGGGAACTGGAAGTAAAGTTTTGTGAAGCACAGATCATCCACCTCTTGCTATAATGGAAATTAGACAGAAACCAGTTGAGTGATGTGTTTCTACAGTTGTATATGCGTTCCTCTTACTTTATTGTACTTCATACAAATGTGGCCCATTGCCCAAAAGGAAGGACACATCACCCCCAGAATGAGACCATGGGTCACCAGCAACTGAATATGCAGATGTTGGGGTTTGTTGCAACACTATAAGTCAGGTTTTGAACAATAAAAAAGGACTGACTTCCCCTAAAGATGTACAGAGTGTGGAGTGTAGGATTGTATGTGAAGGGCTTCTTGTACCATTGCATAGAGTTGCTAAAATAGATTCCAGCAAGAACAGAGCTAGTGGCCATTATCAGGTTGTTTTGGTGGATGATATTAAACTTTCTTTAAACCGCCATCCATCCCATTGAACTAGATAAAGAAGCTGGAATTTCAAGGTATTGGATCTGGATACTAAAATAGTTTTCCAGACAAGTTTTAAATAAACCTTCTCTATACACATGTTGCATTTTCAGCTACTGTGATTTTTCTTTACTTTTCTCACTCTGTACCTTTTTGAAATTCTGGGAGTAAGGAAGTATTCCACATTGTAGAAAGTTGGAGGAAAATATAGCTTGATGTGTGAAAGTCATTGTATTGAACAAGCTCTTGTTTTTCCCCTCCAACTTTCTCATGCAAAAATCACACGTTAGCTTGAAATGCATCCAGTGTTTAGAGAAAAACAAAACAAAACATTAAAGCTGTTTTTACATGTGCCTTGAGAGAGACTCCATGTGTGTGTTGGTATACATCAGTCTATCCTCCCCTTCCATGTATAGCTTGCTGTTCTGTAAACACATATACATAATACAGCCATGTTGTTTGAAAGGTCTGTAGCCAAAGTAAAGTGCATACTCTCCTTCAAAGCATACAATGGTCAAGTTAATCTGTTTCCCCCCACAAATGGCACATTTGTATTTTAAGTATAACAAGATCTGGATGGTAGCGGTCAAGAGGTGATATTTTTGTAATGCAGTGTTTCTCAGCCTAGGGGTCAGGACCCTGGAGGGGTTGCGAGAAGGTGTCATAGGGGTTGCCAAAGACCATAAGAAAACACAGTATTTTCTGTTGGTCGTGGGAGTTCTGTGTGGGAAGTTTGGCCCAATATTATCATTAGTGTGGTTCAGAATACTCTTTGATTGTAGGTGAACTATAAATCCCAGCAACTACAACTCCCAAATGTCAAGGTCTTTCCCCCCGTCCAAACTCTGGCAGTGTTCACAGAGGCTTCGTGCCAAGTTTGGTCCAGATCCATCATTGTGTGAGGTCTACAGTGCTCTCTGGTTGTAGGTGAACTACACTTCCAAAACTCAAGGCCACCAAGCCCTTCCAGTATTTTCTGTCAGTCATGAGAATTCTGTGTGCCAAGTTCGGCTCAATTCCATTGTTGGTGGAGTTCGGAATGCTCTTTGATTGTAGGTGAACTATAAATCCCAGCAGCTACAACTGCCAAATGACAAAATCAATTCCCCCCAACCCCACCACTATTCAAATTTGGGTGTATTGGGTATTTATGACAAATTTGGTGCAGTGAATGAAAATACATCCTGCATATCAGATATTTACATTACGATTCATAACAGTAGCAAAATGACATTTATGAAGTAGCAACGAAAATAATTTTATGGTTGGGGATCACCACAACATGAGGAACTGTATTAAGGGGTTGCAGCATTAGGAAGGTTGAGAAACACTGCT